TGCAGATAGATACAATATGCCAACTGTGTGGAGAAGAGAATGAAACAATCGAACATGTCCTGCTTACTTGTACCAGAGCTCAAAAAGTGTGGAAGCTGTCAATGATCAATTGGGATGGCTTGGAGGACAAAAAAACAGACTTCAGAAATTGGTGGTGGCATGCTTGTGGTGTGGATAAAAGGCCAATCTCAGAAGAAAGACTCCAGTTGTCCACATACATTTTATGGTGGCTCTGGAAAATGAGAAATCTCTATATTTTTCAAAATACATTAATGCCTGAGCAGGAAGTTGGGAGAGCAGCTTGGAGAGAATGGGTTGAATTTGCTCAAGCTACTTCACCGAGGAAGGAGTAAAGATGTAGTCAGAAGGCTAGGTCTCTTGGGAGTTCAGTGGCCTCATTTTTTACTTCATCCCTCTTTGGAGTGCATATTTTGTATTAGTTCTCATTTATTAATATGTCTAAGGCTTCTTGCATGCATGCTTAGATGTATTGGGATTCATTGTATTTATCTGGGCCACCATGCAAGGTGGTTCCCCATGAACATTAGGGACTTCACAGTCTCTCGGATTGTACATTTTTCTAGTTGAATAAAATCTATCGTTTCGAAAAAAAAAACAAAAAAGAGGATATAATATTATGTCTTTGTAAACTAAAAATTTGTAAATTAATATTGTAGACATTTAAATTTTGAACAATCAAATGGTGTGACAAATGTGAAAATTTGTGTTTAAAAGAAATATAACTATTTTTTTAAGGTCATTTTTTTTATAATTAAATAAATTATTATTTCTTTTATGGATCATTATTAAAGCGAAGATATTGAAAAATGTTGTAATTATCTCTTTTAGACGAGGAGCTCTTTAAATAAGACTCCTAAACCCTATTCATAACTTGTCTAACAAGACAAGATCTTTTATAATAATACTAAATTTTAAACTTATTCTCTACGATAATAATAATAATAATAATAATAATAATAATAATAATAATAATAATAATAATAATAATAATAATAATAATAATAACAACAACAACGACGACGACAACAACAACAACAACAACAACAACAACAACAACAACAACAACAATAATAATAATAATAATACCACCCGACTCTGTAAAAGTTCCTCCACCTGTCGTCTCAGCTCCTCATGTTTCGACGAGCTCATCCGATAGTGAGGTTTATTCGGCAAAGAAGCCCCAGGAACCAAATCGATGTGATGCTGGATGTCGCGAAGTGGTGGTAAGCCCGAAGGAATCTCCTCCGGAAACACGTAAGCGAACTCGGACAAGAGAGGGCCGATAGCAGCCAGTGGTGTCCGCTCTTCACCTAGGTCGACCCCCACAAGCAATAAACACCACATAGACTCACGCAGCTCCGCCAGAAAGCTGTACGTGAAAGAATAAGAAGCGGTGATATGGAACTCGGCATCGGCAATGAATATATTATAATTTTCACTAAGCTGGATCTTTGGAGCGGGTATCACCAGATTAGGATCTGACCGGGTGACGAATGGAAGACGACATTTCAAATTCGAGAGGGGCTCTTCGAGTGGATGGTGATGCCATTTGGTTTATCCAATGCTCCGAGCACATTTATGAGAGTGATGAATCAGGAATTACAGGACTTTATCAGCAAGAATGTCGTAAATTCTGATAAAATTCACCCTCCTAAACCTAATGTGGAACTCTGGTAAAATTCTCTAGTGTAGTCATCCACCGTTCGAGACCCCTGTCGTAAATTCTGCAAATGCTTATACACAAGGCTGTCATAATTGTAAGGCACGAACTTACGCTCTGCATACTTTCGAAACTTCATCCATGAAGTCAACTTTGGTTTCCCTTGACGATGCCGCAGGCTCGTGAGTTGCATCTACCAAGACGTTGCCCTGTCTCGAAAAAGCGTGGCGACCAAAGCAGCATGTCTGTCCTCCGGCATCCTTTGAACTTGAAAACAGCCTCAACCGAAGCCCACCAATCCAGAAACTCTGAACCGTCCACCCCCAGCAAACTCTGGAATTTCTACACGAAACCCCTGCTCCCAACGTGATTCATCGCCCCCTTCTATCGGGCGTCTGCCATCACGTCAGTCTTATCTCCCTCTCTCAAAGCAGCCACGATCGACATACACTGCTCGTGGCTGAAATTCATCATCGCGACCACGCCAGACCCGGTGCAACAACTCAACATCGTCCGAATCTAAATCGGCATCCCCGCGCAGAGGTGCGCGTTCTCGACGTCTCGTCATATCGCCGCGGAAGCCACCATCTCTCTCCTCTTCCCAGGCCATATCCCGGCATTGTTGTCGCTCGTCGCGCCACCTGTTGTCGTCCCTGCCGAACACTTGCGTCGCTATATCGTCCATGGTTGGCCTACTATTATTATCTTTGTAGTCGTGGACACTCGCTGGACTTTAGTAGCGCGTACCACCTGCAGACAGACGGTCAGACAGAGGTGGCGAATCAGTCATTGGGCAATCTCCTCTGTTTTCTGGTGGGCGATAATCTTCGTAGTTGGGGCCAACGGATGAGGCAGGCCGAATTAGCGCATAACTCGGCGGTTAGTCGTGCCACATGTTTGTCGCCATTTGAGACTGTTTTTACAATTCGGCCCCATGGCCTGTGCGATCTGTTGGCGTTGCCGGCTGTGGATGTGGTTGATCGTCGGGCTGCTGACCTCATCGTCGATCTAAAGGTGATGCACAAGACGGCTCGAGCCCGGTTGGAGGCTACTACGACATCGTACAAGAAGCGATCAGATCTTCGCCGTCGGCATGTGGAGTTCAACGTGGGTGATCATGTTTGGGCCGTTTTGACGAAGGACAGGTTTACAGCCCACGAGTATAATAAGTTTCCGGCCCGCAAGATTGGACCAGTTGAGGTGGTTGAGAAAATCAACCCAAATGCTTATCGTATGCGTCTTCCATCTCATGTTCGTACGTCTGACGTTTTCAACGTCAAGCACTTGGTACCGTTTGTGGGCGACAATTCGAAGGAAGACGAGGCCGGTTCAGATTCGAGGGCAAATCCTACTCAATCAAGAGAGGGTGATGAAGACGAGAACTCCATCGCGTATAAATATGATCGGCTCTGGGTTTAGTCTTCTTATTTATCATTATTATTAGTACTCTTTTCTTTCCATTATTGAATAATCTTGTTAGGAAAATAAATATTTTAGCAGTAGTGTGGCAGTACTTATTTTCTTTCTTATTTATCTGATGTTGCGAACGAGGAAGGACAGATTAATATTGAATTGAAAATAGATCGTTCTATTTCACGAGAGAGTATCTCCTTCCCCATTCGTATGTTGCTCTACATCACAATCAACAGTAATAGTTATTATCAAAACCTTCCCCACTTTCTATTCAATTGGTCTTTATGTCCTATAAAAACAAATAAACAACCTACAACGACTATAACCTGCCATGTGGAATTTCCAAGCGTTACCACACCAAACATTCTGACAATCTAATTTTACTATCTATCACGTAGTCATGCCTCTGCGTTCACAAATAACTGATTTTCTTCAACAGTATCACAAGTTACTTGTAACTTATGGTGCCAAATGATATAAAATTGTAACAAATGTTTACTTAAAATCCCTATTATATTAAAATTCATCAAGTTCATAATTAGAAAAATCTCATAAGACTTTTGTGCCATATACAATTTGAGAACTTACAATGATAAAAATTGGAATCAAATATTTTGACAGAATAGACACATATTAGTGCAAGAGGCATACATCATCGAGCAACTAAGCCTTGTAATTATCAGGTTTCTTATCATAGCGCCTCAACAACTGAAGCACAATTCCCGTGATTAGCTTAGTGGTCATATAAGTTTCACATGGAATATCCCTCCTCAAATTACAAAAACAAATAAAAAAGGAGATTTGAGAAAAAAAAAAATCATCACAACAAATAGGAAAAAAAATCAATTTCACGTGCACACACAAACAAAAAAGGAAACTTTAACGAATCAAACAATACCCAATAGACCAACATAACATAATTTTCTTCTTGAACAAGTGACAAATTTCCCTTTACAAGATCATCGCCAAAATAAACGATTAATTTGTTAAGCATATTGGCTTCAGAATGTGAAAGTGAGGCCAACAATTATTAGCGGGAACGAGTAAATCAACACGTACAAGTACGTAGCAGACGTTTGGATAACATATGCATACCTGGTTGGTGGAAAGCTCGACTTGATCCATGGCAATGGGCGGATCGAAATCTAGAGAGGGAAAATCCAACTCTGGAGATAGAGCGCGATCAGCATAACAAGAATTAAAAATATGCAAAAAAGAAAAAAAGGAAATTAGATATTTCACGGGTCAATTATCGGGTCATTATTCAACCAAGGTCGTGTGGTGGAATGGGTAAAAAGGAAATTGGATATGTCACGGGTCAATTATCGGTTCATTATTCAACCAAGGTCGTATATTGGAGTGGGTTTAATTTAATTCATAGCCCAATAACAATACAACAGTACAGTTACTGGGGGTAAAATAATTTGTGTGTTGATGGAGATTTGGGTCCCTTGTACTTTACAGTTTAGTAATTCAAACTCCCCTTACAGCAGCTTCCCTATCTAAAAGTTGTTAGCTGTTATAAAATATGATATATGAATGATATGATCCTAGTTTCTTACACACATCATGAAAGAAATATCTAGCATTGAATAAAAAACTCCACACAGGACCAAGTACGAATATTTAGCCAACTTTTAGTCCAGAAAAAGTCGACATGATTATTACAGACCCACAGATACCATACACAAACTGTCATAACTTATTTCATGCGTATGAGTAAATACAAGATAATTCGTTCAGACATGAACACCCGAGGCAAAACCATCAGTCGGTACACTTCAAATGCCCCAAACACAAATGAATAAATTATACACACAACTCCCCATGTCCCTTTTTGGTCCGAAGAAGCTTCGTCTCAAAATAGACACCCTGGAAAATTCAATGACTTGTACGAAGAAAACATTTAGGCCTGCAAAAAACTGGCGTACTTTGCCCCCAGAAATAGCCTCTGAATGCAGAGCAAGGCATTTTTGGTGACCTCTACATTCTCGTGGTTCATCAATTTCATCACTCTTTCTTTGGCTTTGAGGTCTGTCACAATGATACGACCGGCCGCATAGTACTGAATGAATTGTGAGAGGTCATAGCAGGCAACAGCAAGTGTTCGTGGGTCGGTGGACGTGTCCAAAATTGTGATGAGGACCCTAATAATCTACAGCAAAGCAAAAATAAAAATTAATTAAGTTCTTGCTAAAGGATGAGAAAAGAAGTTCTAAGCACATGGACAGATTTACAATTTTTTTTTTTCCCCCGGGTAGAGAGGACAATGAAAACTAGACTGAAAAAAAGTTGATATGGATAAGATTATAATAAAAATAAGTCTACTGGATTTATTGAAAATGATTGTTGATTTCAGTTCAATTTGGTTTGGGTCATTGGAGAGAAGTCCAATCATGAAGAGAGGGAAACGAATAGTATAAAAATTAATGACTTCTTGAAAACTGAAAACGATAAACCAACAAAAATTTTTGTTACAGTTCAGATAAGCAAATAGTGGCACCTACACTAGGGGCAATCTCCCAAATATGATATCCCAGACACCAAGCAATGCAATTTGCCCAACTCTCTTTTCATTATTGCACAAGATATACAAGTTCACATTGCAGTTGGTATAGTGACAGCAGTTTGGCAGAAATTCTCTTGCAGTAGAGATCACAACCACATAATTATGAATGAATGTAAATGGTACCTGAAAATCATGCTCCTCGAAATTAGCGATGTTGTCTCGCCAGAATATTGGATCTTTATACATGGGAGACCAATCAAGATGTCCAAGGAGGACTTCTTGCTTGTACTTGTCAAAAGAACTTAGCTGCTTAATGTTGTCTTTCAATCCTTCTTCCAATTGATTCAGAGCTTCCAGCAGATCCTGTGAAGATGGAAGAAAATGTATGACTTAGAGAAATACATAGTAAATCAGTGAAGAAAATCGGGTCATGTCCAAGCATAGATGACAGACTACCCATAAATTGGCTAAAGTAAAACCAGTATCACATAAAGCTAATATTAAGGCAATTGAGTAAGGTTACACTACAGTTTCACTATAACTTGGATATCAAATAAGCACATATATCGAGGAAATACTTCTTCATTAATTCTTTAATCCACAATGGAAAATTAGGGAGAATAGTAAAGTAAACTTAGCTAAGAATTTTGTTCTTTCCAAGAGATTGATGTTGCAAACCTATGAGATGATTCTTACACAATTTGCCAAATGGAAACTGAGGCACATTAAAATGGCTTACTGGAGAAAAAGTAATGTACACGTGCCTTCTGGCCCATCTAAATGAGAAAGTTCCCATAAAATCTGTTTGGCTGTACTCCTGGTAGTATTTAGAGATGTAAATAACAATTTCACTATTGAGATTTTCGGCTTACTGTTACATTTATATATTTTCAGCAAGAAACATAGGACCTATATCGAGCACCACACAGAAATGTTATCTCACCTCATCACTCCATGCCTGATCTTTTAGATTCTGAACAAGCTGCGGCAGTCCCAGGTCTGCCATCTAGGCACCAAATGTGCCTTTGTGCAGAAAATTCTTGAGAGTTAAAATAACTACCCTGACAACCTACATAAGTTGATAGAAAGTAATTCTAAGATAGACATTTGACCTAAGGAATTTTCCACAGAGGATTATTTGTATATGCAAACTGAAGATACGGCAGAATTATCGCCAACACTAAGGGGTTAACTGCCGCCACAACTAAAATATAAATGGGTAGCAATCCAAAAAGGTGATAAAAATTTATCTCAAACATATGAAGAGCCCTACCTTTTCCTTTGTGGGTCCCTTGACAACTTCTATCAACCTCGGCAAGGATCTAGAAGTGGCCAAATACTCAACTGCAGGCTCATAGTATGTGAGGAGCCACACACAAAGGCAGGTTTCATACAAGAGCTTTGGTCAGATAAAAAGTGAAAGTTAGAAGCTGTAGTGGCAAATTATCCAACACTACGAAATCAAATAAGAAGGTCATGGAAACTTCACATCAATATAGGATATGATTATGGCATGCACTATATAATCAACTCCAAAAAGATTTCATGCATGCATTTGCGGAACTAAGCAAAATATTATTCCACCTAGTAATCATGAACTGAGGTTATCTGGATGGATTGTTGAGTGGATGCTGGAGAAATAAGAGAAATGAGCAACTTCACTCCGTCTGCTTGAACAAATGAAGATCGAACCACAGGTTCCTTCAATAAAGTTGAAAGGCAATTAACAGCAGTGGGAATACCGCGACTAGGATGAGATGGGTTCCTCAGCTGTAAAAATTAATATGATATAGTTTATATAGATATAATATGCGCAATATCTTATTGCTGACTCTGACCTTAACAAAAGCTAACAGCCTCCTGATACAGTAATATTGTCTAAAATTAACCTCACATCATTTGGCTTCTGCTCTATTTAATAACAGGCAATAGAAAATGCCACTATATGGAGAAGTGGAATCCAAATCCATTGACTCTGCAAAATTGATAAACATATAGAAAAATGGTTTATGTGTACATATATTTTATTAGTCTATATCTAACAGGCGGGTAAATTCTAAGTCTTTTGGCATGAGCATTTCTTATGTTTGATAAAGTTAAACATCTATGTCCACATTACAAACACATGCATAAATAAGAACAATCCTTTGTAAGACGTTCCTTTTCCTCTAACCTCAACAAAACTAAAAAGATACAGAGAGAATAAAACTAAACCTGTGAGCACAGCCAGTCAACCAGTGCCTTTAAAACGTCATCAACCATGGTGATATCCTTCTTCAACTTTGACGCCCCATTGGCATGGGCACCATCATGAGATCTTGGCCCTCCACTGCAATTAAAAGATTTAGAAAATTAGACAAACAAATAAATTTAGTCATATTCCAAAGGAATGGGAGTGATTCGCACGTTACTATCAAAGAAAGTATCTTGCAGCTCTTCTCTTGGATAAACAAGTTACCTTTCCAAAGCAACCTGAAAAGGGAGTGATCAGTCATCTATATTACATTCATGCTAGCGACCAAGAACAATAAAATATAAAATTCATCAGTATTTTTACAATTAAATTGGATAACAACTCTACCAAGATTGCAGCACTAACTGCTAAGAAATATTTAGTACTTAAAAGTTACTATCATTTTATTTTTAAAGTCGCAAGTGTGCTTTGAAATCAAGGTATTTGAATCAAAAGTTGCACGCACTAAAAACCTATCCGCTGCTAACCCTACTAGAACATTAGTAACTATGAAATGCAACATTAGGCTAGATCATTGCCTTAGGAAAGGCTCATATGTATCCTCGCTGGAGAGAGACCTATCATGAAATAGCCTTGCTCTTTTAGGATTAGCTGCCATGCATGGAGAAAGGAAAAGCAGAAAATGAGATCAGCAACTTAAAACAGTACAAGCTAAGTACAATCTATCCAACTTGTCCGCTTACCTGAAAGCAATTCATCGATCAGAGCTAAAACATACTCTACAGTTTCTTCCTTGAATATGTCACGCAATATGCTAACAAAAACACGGATGTAAGCTGCACCATCCTGTAAAAATTATAAAGTTGCCAACAGTAACAGTCATTATCGAAACCTTTACCACTTTCTGTTTGATTGGTCTTTGTGTCCTATAAAAACAAATAAACAAGCTACAACGATTATCACCTGCCATATGGAATTTGCAAGCATTACCACACCTAACATGCTGCTAATCTAATTTACCTATCTATCATCATTGTCATGCCTCTGCGTGAACAAATAGTTGCTTTTCTTCAACAATATCACAAGTGACTTGTAACTCATGGTGTCAAGAGATATAAAATTTTAACAAATGCTTACTTAAAATCCCTATCATAGTAAAATTCAGTAAGTTCATAACTACAGATGTCTCACAAAACTTCCGTGCCATTCACAATTCAATAACTTAATATGATAAAAAGTCGAATCCTTTGACACCGATACAAGTTAAAGGACAAACTAACAACAATCAGCACCTTTCAGTGACAATGAATTAAATGCTTTAACAAAATAGACACATATTAATGCAAGAGGCATACATCATCGAGCAACTGAGCCTTGTAATTATCAGGTTTCTTATCATAGCGCCTCAACAACTGAAGCCCAGTTCCCGTGATCATCTTAGTGGTCATATAAGTTTCCCATGGAATATCCCGCCTCAGAACCTTGCCAAAAAAAAAAAGGATATTTGGAAAAATCAGCATAACAATAAAGAAAAAAATCAATCACACACACACAAAAAAAAAAAAAA